GAATATAGATAAACACACAACGATTCGCCGAAGCATTTAAATTCTCAGTGTTCGAACTAACTATACCGAGTAGAGTCTTCCGTGAGATGGTGATGGTAGCTGTTTTGTATAAGAAATTAATTAAACTCAATTACAGAGTGAATAATATTCAGTCCAGTGTGACATACAAGTTTACAGCACTTCAGTCATCATTAACCTAACATGTTTCGATTCAAAAGAATCATCTTCAGTGGCGCACCACTACGATCAGGGAACACTGTCACATAAGATGTTAAGCTATGAATAATGCTCACTATATAAATTTTGTTATTATCAAGGTTGTCCTAGGCATTCACAATGGCGCTTCTTGAAGTGTAGATTTACGTACGATGATGTTTCTTTTAAATGTAACTCCTGGTTATTCTGACTGGGGTTTTTCACTGCACGCGATATGATCAAATTAAACTCAATTAATTTACAAGTTTGTTGTTTCTGTGATAAGTGCATTAAGCGCGGAAGGAAACATTATTTAATGACGATGTTTCAACTGAAGTAATAGAGACAACGATAAATATTTGCAAGAGGGCAACTGTAGACTATTGTAAATGCTGTACAGATATCCGCATGGAGGGACTGAGGATATCACAACAATACACCTAGTAATCAATGACAAGACCGTGTTTTGAACCTACTACCTCCCGAATACAAATGTGCAATGTTAACATGACTTCAGTCTGGTCCATTATGTTTAATAGTACTGCATTCTAATGCACCGCAGAAGCCATGGCATTAAATTACCACTAGATTCGGTTTACACCTACGTATGTATGTCCGGACGAGGAGCCGGGTTAGCTCAGTCGGTATAGCGACTGGCTATGGGCTGGACGACCGAGGGGTTGGAGTTTGAGTCCCGGTAGTGTCAAGAATTTTCTCTTCTCCACGTAGTCCAGACCGACTCTGAGGCCCACCCTACTTCCTATCCAATGGGTTCTGAGACTAAAGCGGCCGGGGCGTGAAGCTGACCACTCACCTCCAACTAGTTCCGATGTCAAGAAAATGTGGATTTATACATGTACTCCTCCATACGCCTTTATGGCGTAGTGCTTAATTAGATAAGCACAGGGACAACTCTACTTTACCATGTACGTCTGGACATATATTGATTTAAAGGTTATATAAAATTTGTGTTGTGCGCATTACAAGAATTTACATAGGTTCCCACTATGGCGTTAAAGTCAGCTACATTACAGGTACTCTTTAAGTTTTGCGTAAACCGTTTGTGGAACAGGTGCATTAAATGTCTTTTAGTAAAACGAAATGACATTGCAAGCTACACCTGTTCAGATATATACGTAATTTATAGTCTGCAAAATGTTTCAAGTTTCTCGCTAGGTATAGTTTGTTCCTGCAGCACACCAATACGAGTATTGATCTCATAAAAATCTGTGCTACATGAATAGCCATAATGAAATATCTTGTGAGCTATAAAAGACTAATATTTACATCTAATTTATTTATTTTACCTTATATTGCTTTTATTTTTAAAATATTACTACTATATTTGTACTAAAGAAGGGAGGAAAGTGTTAACTATTCTAATGAATTACGCGTACTCATCAAATACCTTCTCTGCATAATTCGCCTTTGTACTAATATTACATATATAAACTCGATGTTACAATTAACATAATAGACGTGCCACAGAAATAACACTGGATACGATACAAATAATTTCCTCTTTCATTTGTTAAAGGTTCGCAATACCTGAAATATTTCACAAAAAAAAATACGTCTCGTTGTGGGTCCTTCACTCATTACATAATTTTCTCTACGATGACCGATTGTAAAAAAAAATAATTGAGTTCCAAGTAAAATAGGCAGTCTGTTTTATTCGTTGGAATGGATCTACATTCCAGCCAACAAAGCCTGATATAATCCTCCAATATTAAATGTCATTGATTTACATCTCATGTATTTAGAAATAAAAAAAAGATGCGAAATGCTGAAAGGTGAGCAGGCCGAATCATGATATCCTCATTGTGTGTACACTTTGTGGACGTTTTCTAAAGAACACATAAAATATATACTTGCACTCACTCAGATCAGAATGGATTTCTATTAAGAACACTGAAGGAGAGCTGCTCCCGACGAAATCTGCCGCTGTTACGAGCCTTTGTTGTGTTCCAAATTCAACTGTGCTTTATATAGGAATACAGAAAATGAACTTATGAGCACAATTGGCCGCGCCATAGCTCAAGCGGTTAGTATCTGGCCTCCCACCGCGGCGGCCTGGGTTCGATCTCAGGTATGGTCAAGTGGGATTTGTGGTGAACAAAGTGGCGCTGGGGCAGGTTTCCTCCCAGTACTTCGGTTTCCCCTGCCAATCTTCATTCCACCAATTGCTCCACAAGCACCCTCACCTATCATCTGGGGCTGGTACAATAGGCCAGAAGTGGCCGCAGTACAAGGGACTTAGTCCCTCCCCACTAGCAATAAAAGAAAATATGAGCAGACTTCATATTCGTTACGCCGGTAAACACTGACATCTTCACACAAAAGTGAATGTGTTTCATGAATACCTTACAACATTACTGTTTATACGAACTATACCAAAATGTGAAGAAAGTTGTCTTCTGGGATCTGGCGCCGTGTAGACCATATATGGCCTTAATCGCTGTTCACTCTTCCCATTGGTCCCCTCTCCCAAACCCCCCTGCCTACTTCATATATAAACTAGCGCTTTTCACTTCCCAATCATTGCAGCTACTGCTCTCTGTTTTCGCAACGTAATTCAACTTCCCTGAAGATGGAGGCTATACGTTCCTCCAAAACGTCGGTTAAAACCAAGAATACACGGCGCGAGATCCCAGAAGACGACTTTCTTCATAGTCATCGCCGTGAAAACCTCAAAACTTATATACCAAAATGTTTTGCAGATTTCTGCTTTTTATTCATTATTGGTTTAATTTTTGACGTCATTGATTAATAAATTGCACAGGATGTGGAAGAAGTGGCCTTGGCCTAATTTTAGATACTTTCCTGGTATTACTTCCCTGAGGTGATGAAATCTCTGAAATCTTAATGGTTACACCTGGTGTCTGGAGATGAGACTTGAACCCAGGGTTTCTCGAATTGAGAATACGTGCACAGGTGTTTGGATGGACGTAAATACATGGTTATTTACTGGAAGAAATATTTATTTCTCGCCGAAGAATCTCTTCACAAAAAGTCTTTGCTGTTGACACACAGAAAGACACATTACCCTAAACACCGTCCAGCGCATGGTTCAGTCAGCCGTGTACGATGCACTGCGGTCCAGTAGAATGACCACCACGTTCGTAACCTCTCGCCTGTAGGGTGTCTTCTTGCCTCAGGACCATCAGTCGTGTGCGTGACCTTTCAAGCGGTACATTAGCGGAACGGAGCGGAGCACTTTGCAGCTACTTGTTGCAGTTCAGCACAACCCAAGCTCAACCGCACTCATGACAAAGGTGGCAATTTCGTTCAACCCTTTAAAGCAGAGTAGTAACTGTAACTACCATCTACCAACTTCTACGTAGTTTTATCATTCGGTAACTCTGCACAGGATGTATTTCAGGGTTTTATATGATCCTCCGAATAATTATCCCTTCTTTTCCTATTTTATCTTTGCGATGGAGACGTAACGTGTTTCTTATGCTGGAGGAAATAACTTGCAATATATTATTTATATGAATTTCACGCTTCAAAAATTATAAATACAAACCACTCCGTCCAATGTGACATATAAGTTTTTACTACGTTAAAACTTATCTCCCTAGTAGTAAAAACTTATATGTCACATTGGACGGAGTGGTTTGTATTTATAACTGTTAATGTGACGGACCAGAATGAAACAAATCAAACCTTCAAAAATTAATTAAAATAAAATATTAGAATTTAAATATATTTTAAACAATTCACCACTTGGAGGAGAGGAGAAATGCATATAGGATATTGGTGGGAATGCCGGAAGGAAGGAGACTACTGGGAAGATCAAGGCGTAGGTGGGTGAGCAATATTAAAATGGGTCTCAGAGGGATAGGATGGGATGGTATGGATTCGATTTATCTGGTTCATGATAGGGACCGCTGGAGGGCTCTTGTGAACACAGTAATAAACTTTCGGATTACATAAAATTCTGGGAAGTTCTTGAGTAGCTGAACAATTGGCAGCTTATAAAGAAGGGCTCAGCTCCATGAGTGAGTGATTCACCATTTAAATGCATTTTCAACAATTAAGTGTACAATTAAACCAGTTAATGTCTGTACAAATCAGTTGTACTCAAATTTATCCAGCAGGTACTCCTTTTCACCTACACATATATTAATCAATATTTACATTTTTAAATGTAAGACCCATAAAGGTACATATCCACTGCGTCTCCCTTACGAAGATCAGTCAGTTCATGCTCTGTAGTCAAATGGATGCTATAACGGTATATATTACACTCTGTGAGCAAAATTCAGACTTTCTAATGATAAAATAGAAAGTGGATAACAGTTATCACTGTTAAGAATTGAAGAATTAAGAGCTTAACAGGTTGTATGCTCTTTAGTTTGTTATTTTCAACACTGCAATCAGGAAGCAAGTAGGATTTGAGGTTCGCAAACTGGAGGTTTCGAAGAGTCCTATGTTTTGGGATATAGCGCTGTGTAGTCTGTTGAAATTCAACTGACATTTCGCAGGAACATGTCGCTTCCGTCTTCATGGTCGAAAAATATACTAAATAAGAAAGGAGCATGAAGCGTGTTTCCCTGAAGCGTTGGCTGAATTTCAACGAAATTCACGGTATTATTACCATGAAAATAGGACTTTTAAAGTAAAAGTAATACTCCTCCTTTCGTATCATCTGCTCCTGTAACCAGTGCAGTCTGATCATGTTCATTCTGTTTTTATCAAGATTTCGCAAACCAATTTCTTCGCTGTATATCCATTGTAATTACAACTGGGTACAGTGTTTATATTGTCCTCAGTTCTTCTTCCGCTTCTTGTTCTTGTAGGGGCGCTGTTCATACGGAAAAGCATGACTAGCAGTGCCACCTGGATGGAAGCTTACCTCGGTCACAAGAAAATTCTCAAAGCGCTTATCGAAGGTGCATAGCTGACGGTATGGAAGCTATACAAGAGTTCCGGTTCATAACTTGACGGAGAGTTGGAACGTGATTAGTGCGTGTCAGTGCCTTCTAATTGTGTTTCGGTGAAATTCATATTGTGGAAAAGTGTTTTATTGAAAAATATAATATTTACGACGTCGTGTACCTAATGAGAGCCGTAATTAAATACAGTGAGGCTATATATATTCCAAACTCAGCCCGGCGTATGCAGTGTAGTAGAGTTATGTCCTGGACTTCTTCCTGCATGGTATGTTTTTCCAGGTAAGATACGAATGAGAAATGTTTATGTATATTTATATGAACTGTAATATTGGTGCAGTGCTCGTATGCGTTATTTTAAATATAAAATCAGCTCAAACTACCGACCTGAAATATATATGAAATATTTTTTTGATATTAGATATTTCATGCATTTCAGTAATTGAATGACAGCAAATTGAAATAACTTTGCATCTTTGTAGGGAAGGAATTGTCACAGATGAAACTATATGATTATATATACAATTAAAATAGACTGGATATTCTGGTATTGAACTCCTCTTTTCTTCCGTAGTGACTGAATCAGAACATCTGAAGCTCCCACGGTAATATTAAAAATCCACCTACACGAGCTTGAAATAGCTATTAGTAAACGATCATTATTTTGTGCTAGGTTATATTTATCTTTTCATAGACGTTTGGACAAGTAGTGGCATAACGAAAGAATTCTTTTTCTATGCAGAGTGAATTATGACAGTTCAACCGGATGAATATAATTAGTCTATAGAATTTTAAAACATATTTTATATACGAGCTACTTATGATGTATTGAACACATACTGGGTGGCGCAAATTTATGACTTATTTACGCTAATATGAAGGGCTTTACAGCCATCAATGCAACTCGTATGATTTGTGTAGAACATGAAATAAAATATTATGAACTGGTATATGTTTATAATTCAGCTGCATTTTTATTGGAAATGACATTGAGTAATAACCCCATTTTCTTAGACTGTGACTTGAACCTGACTGTCCCACCGGTCGAAGCCTAATCGGATGTTACATGTACTTTGTGATATGAGAGGACTCAGAGTTTCATTTCATTGTTGCAGTAACGCAAGGTGATGAAATGATTCTCTTTGGTGTCTGTGTGCTAACTGTTTAGGTTTTTTTTTTCAAACACGGATTTCAGTCTGGGGGTTTTGGTGGCCATTCTGTGCGTTCGACAAGTTTAAGTACTACGTCATCAGATACTTCGAAGGAACATGTTATATGAAAGTAAATAAAAATATTTTACTTTCAAAAATCAAAATAATTCTCCTTGAAATANATACATTTTATATTCGTGGTTTAACGTCTGCGTACACACATACATGTATTCAGATTAAGAAGAACTATCAGAGCAAAAAGTACGAACTGTTTGGCAAAGCAGAGTCCCAGGTTCTTATATTAGCTTAGGATTTACTTTAAGATGTGCTGTGAATTACGTACAACGGTTAGGGAGAAAGTCAAATGGGGAGTTCTTGAATACTGAAAGAGTTTGAAAAGTGCAATGGAGGAGGACTTCCTTCTGTAGAAAAATCACGTGAGAAGAGTCCAACAGCCTGGACTAGAGCATAGCATAATACAGGGATAAGTAATCTGTTTTACTCAGAGAGCAGAAGTGACCGCAGATCAAGTACTTCACAATAATTGTTCACTCAAAAATTTACAAGTAATAATTTATTGACACTGACTAAACTTTAGGGTTTTGGGGATATGAGAAGACATTAAATAAAACATTGTTAATAATTAATGTGAAAACAGTAATCCAAACTCGCTGATGACCTCAAGAAATTTCGCAATAAATCAGACGAAAAATGGGTCACAGCCTGTTTCACTGTTTCCAGACTGGGTATATTACATACACAGAGCAACACTAGATAGCTCAATTTTATCATCTGTATTCATAATTATTTATTTTATTTTCTTGTCCTTGTGTAATTTATTCACGTCTCCTATTTATTTTGTTACGACATGGTTCATTATTAAATAATCAGTCAACTTATGGGTCCATATTTATTATATTTACACTGCTTTCATTATAATACGTAAGAAAATAAAAAAAATGTTAAGAGCGATGTTACTAATAAAATGTGAATATTACTGCGAGCCGAATTGACCTTCCACCTCAGACAGGTGGGCCGTATATTGTTAACGTTGGATGGTTTACTGTCACTGCGAGGATTAGAAGCAATGACTGGTCAATGCTTGGGCTTCACTGAACACCAGTACGGAAAGCAGGAGTGCACAGGCTATGTAGAGGAGAGAAAGTCCTCAGAATCTTTCGGAATCAGAGGGTCAGTTGTCGTCTTTGCTTCTCTTGTGTCGTGTATGATCTAGTGTAATTCGTGCCTAACTACTCAATAATGCAGCACTTTTCATGCAATGCCAGAATCGATCGAATCTAATATTATTATTAGTCTATTGGAGTTATCAAATCATATCTGTTTAATCAAAGTCAGATCACATTCGTATGTTACGTTAATCAAACAATTCTTTGAGTACGCGCATTAATGAACCTGGCGCTGTAGAGAATATTTCGGCCTATATGAAGGAAGGGAATTAAAAGAAGTAACTGGAAAATCGCACAGTGAAGATCTCCATAAGTTGTTCCCTTCACGAGATCTTAAGAGGATTAGTGAAGAAGAATTAGACATGCGGATCATGTAGCATGCATGGGGAGAGGAATGAAAATTTCAGTCTCGAAACTCTTAAAGGAAAAAGAGCACCTGGGAGATCTAGACGTGGATGGTAGTATAATATTAAAATAGATCCTAAACAAACAGGGTATACAGTAGGTCCACCTGGATCAGGATATGGACTTGTGGCCTGCTATTGTATTGTCTTATGTGGTGAAAGACGTTCGCGTTTTGTAAATGGCAAGGAATGTTTTGGCCAGCTGAGCAACTACACGCATCTCAGAAGGATTATGCTTCTTGGACTTTGCTACTTTAATGCTTAAAATAGTAAGTTGTACGGTCCAAAGCAACCCAACTACAGTCCTCGAATTGGGAACTCGGCTCAGTCTTGCTTCCAAAGTTTTATCACCCAATAAAATTTCGAGACACACACATTTTCTTTCTTCAGTAAAAATATCTATTCGCAGTAATTCGACGGCAGAACGTGTGTAAAGTTCTGATGTATGTGAAATCCACCATCCGTGTTAAAATTGTCTCTATTTTGCATTGCTGCACGCAACTTTCCGCATGTGCTGACAGTCGAAAATGACGTCAGCGGTGTTAGGAAATTCAAGCGTTTTATTCTTAAAGTTCAAGGAATTCAATTTATGTCTAGATTTTAAGAATTCAACAGTGGTCAATGACAAGTATGTCACGTGCTGTCTCTTTGACGCCAGGAATTCTGACTGCATTCGATCTCCATAAAAGTAAAGCTATCCCTCTAACAGGCGGTGGACGCCCATAGGGTTGTGAGACGTCGAGGCTCCCACATTTTCTCTAGGCAATCGGCCTGCAGATGGTAGTGAGGTTATCAGCCTTACGCGCCGGCCACCCTTTATCCCCCCCCCCCCCAGGAAGATTCCTGGTACTCATTTCTGTTTGAGGCTGAGTCGGCCCAGGACCTTAGTTTGGCTGGCTGGAAGGTTTAAGTCAATTGAAATATCTAATGACCTCAATGGAAATCAAACTCGCGACCTACTAGCTTGTAGCATTGCGCTTCAACTAACTGCCCTACCGTGTGCCCTTATGTCCATCCATTTTTGTCCCAAGCTATTGACTGCATTTTGATCAAAACTGACATAGGTTTCTGCATTAAAATTTGTACCATGTTTGTCGAGCAAACCCCTACTTCACATGAAACTCAAATCGGATTTCACTTCTTTCGCCGGAAACAAACACACATAATTACATTATACTTATCTTTTATTTCACACATGTATCGATTTGACGGATATTGAATGACCGACAGATATAAGTGTATTTGCCTCATTGGTACTGTGAATAGCCACGTCAGAATTCATTCGTATCTGCAGGGTGATTGAACTGATTATTTATCTTCATTTACTCCCATCTGTGTTGAAGAATTGCTTATATTTTCATATAGTAATTTGAGTTTTGTTTATTTATGTATTTTTGTACTGAAAAGCGAATATGATTCACTTCATTCATACCATACATTTAAGATGTAAATATTATGTCGTATAGGTAGCAGTTGGTTGCATTCGAGCAGTCAGAAGTCAAATATCTTTAAAGATAATTAGTTAAGTCAACTTTATTGAGAAATAACATAAGAGAGTTTAATCAGTTAGGGTGGGTGTTTAGAATAATATAATTCTATTACCCCGACACAAGACGAGAATCAATGATAGTAAAAATCTACGACAATCACATATGCAACGTTGCGAAGAATTTTTTTAAATCCTGTATTTATATTTGGGTTAGTCCTGTTATATTATTTTCCAATCACAATCGGTGTAGTCTATATATTTATGGAGTGGGGAGTGTGCGCTGTGTGTCCGCTGATTTGTGTATCTGTAGGAATGAAACTGAAGTTCTCATTCCTGAAAATGGACGTCAGTTTAATTTTAATAGCCTATCTGTATTTGATAAAATACAGTGTTCTATTTTATTAAACCGGAAACTTGAAACCTAGTGAATTAGCTCAACTTCTGGCCTGCGTTTGGAAGATCGACAATAAAGTTGGAATCCCTTCCTAGAATCACAACTGCATATATTAAAATAATCTGCGTTCAGTTTCTCTTTCAGCATTTCTCTAAAATCAGTTGTAACATTTATGTAACATGCTCGTATATCTATGTCAAACACGTCGGCAGACGTAGCGTGTTGCAAGCATAGTTTCAGTGACTGGGCGTTCCTACATAGACTAACATGTACATGAGCCTGTGTGACACATTTTATAATCAGTGTTTAGTACACGAGGCAACTAGTTTCCGTGTTACATGGAACACAGACGTTGCCCTATCTATACAATACGTCTGGCATATGACCAGATCTCTATACAGATTTATGGGATAATACATATCAGTGTTCACAGTCATGTCCAGTAGATACACGTAGTAGGTAAAGTATTGTAATATATATGGGGGTACGCGTGAAGAAGATGACGGGTTCTAGAGCGGATGATTGGATTTACGAGCACTTCGGTTACAAGTTCTCTTAATCATACTAAATTATAACGCATTTGAGAAGCCACTAGTTGTGTAGCTATTCAAGAATTTTCCAACATTTTATGGAATACGAAGTTTCATTACCACATTCACAAGAGGCTTCCACTGGTCCTTATCCTGACTCTCTTTGGCAGACATTTTGGCTTTCTCTCTTATAGTTTCCCAAGCTCTACTAATATTCACCTCAGCGTCCAAGTTTTCCAAAGCCGCGAACCTATTTGACGTTTCAACAAGACACTGCTCTTTGCCCTCTACCTCATTTAATTTCTTGAGATTGGACCTCTCCATAAGAAATTTGTGCGTTTGTTTACTCACTGTCAGTGTCTCCCTAATTGCTGCCACCACCAGATAGTGGTCGGTATCATATTCTGCTGCCCTGAACAATCTGACATCAAGTACCCTTGAATGCCGTCTCCTATCTATCAAAAATTGGTATATCTGAGAGTGAGACTTTCCATCAGATGTCCAAGTAAATTTATAAATGTTACGGTGTGAGAACATTGTACTTTTGACAAAAAGATTTTTTGATATGGCAAAATTTGTTACTCTAACTCCATTATCATTATTAACTTCGTGTAAAGTCCCATTCCCAATTGTTGGTTTGAAAATGTCTCCCCTACCTACTTTGGCATTGAAATCATCTAACAAAATGTTCACATGTTAGGGAATTTATCAAATAAACCCTCTAGTTCCTCGTAGAAGCTGCCCTTCATATCAGTTTGATCCTATGTTTGGGAGTGAACGTTCAGAATAATAT